GCCTCCCTTGCAAGTAAAAAGATCGATCGCTGTTGCCTTGTCTTTCTTTCATGGGAATAAGTTCTGGGATCAGCGGGGTCTGACTTAGACCCAACAAAGGTGATTTTAAACGATGGAATTTAGCCCATTCAACCTCAGGTTATAGGACAGCCATCCCAAAACGTCGGCTGCATCCTTCGGAGGACCAGGCCATCGTGGTCTACGTGGGTCGGGTCCTTCGAAGACCGAGAAGGCCGGAAGTACGAGGCTGTGAAATGGGACGGTCTAGCCTTCAGATTTATGTCACCGCTGTGTCAGTGGAGTTTAATAAACTCGGCCATCTGTGTTGAGTCTGTGTTTCCACAAGCCCCGCTGGTTTTAGAGACGTATTCATCATGAAAGAAAACAAGACAGTCAGCGATCGATCGATTACTTGCTAGGGAGGCCTCGTCTGCGTCCACCACAAAAATGACCCCAAATCCGGCCTCCGATTGCTGCCTTTTATTGGGAACACAGTTCACACCCACCCAGAGCCTCGAGAGGCTGGGGTGGGTGTGAAGAGTTTCGACGTTGACGTTGAGGAAGACAACTAAGGTGTACGACGTGCTCTGCCTTAAAAATCTTCAGCAACGTTGGAACATGAGAACCTGAGGGAGCGTGCAGAGCTCCAAAGAGTGACAGCGCAGAGGAGGTCCAGCGATGGACTTGTGGTTCTGTGAACAGCACAAATGCCAGGTGACTGTGAAATAACTAACAGCACTTTTTCCACAAGTGAAGCCAGTAACTTACTATCCTAAAAGATTAGCTCTAGTTGCTTGTGCTTTACCTCCATGCGTGAGATCAGTATGTGCAGCAGCTTAAGCTGTACAATGTTTCAGGAAATAGTTTATTTCACCTCTTGACACTGTTAGTTCCACACGAGGTAGATGTCTACTACTGCAGACTAAACTTACATTTCTGTCACCTACAAGACACTTGTCTTTAATGTTACTGTTACTCTCACAACCACACATTACCATAAAGTGGTGCACAATTCTGAATCCGTCAAACCTTTTGCCAAAAAAAGAAGAGGGCGCTTCTCATGAGTGTAGAGAGCACGTGGAGAAGGAGTGTAAGCCGAGGGATGACTTAGATGTGCCACTGGTTGAGGGAAAGGTTTGGTTTGTTGATGATTTGAGTTTTACAACAGCAGAGGGACAGACTAAAACAGGTTTTGAGCCGACGTTTTGGGACACAGCTAATGTTTCATCACTGGCACAATTTGAAAAATTCCAGCAGTTCCTGAAAGTAACAGCTCTGTGATTTTCAGGGGTATGAGGGTCGTACGGTAATCCCAGGAAGGGCACCACATCAAAATCTTGGTAAATAACATAGAAAACCACACAGCATAAACAAAACATCTTCATCTTTGTGCAGCTGCTGTGAGTCCGAGCCTGGGATTACTGTAATGACATTGATATCACTGAAAAGTGCTTGGTCGATGGTTTCAGTAACGTATGTGTCTCAGCCTTCTTTCTATACTCTATTCTACAATACATATTTGTGAAACAACAGATAAATGTGTGATTAAACTTAAGAGGTAACTTTGAAATATAAAATAACAATGTATATATGCATTAAAGAAAAAAAAAATAGATTCTAACTGATTAAAGGGAAATATAGCACCATGGCATATCCTTTGCAATTGCCTGATGTAACTGTATCCAGCTTGTCAAAAATGCTGATACAGTACAATTCTTCTAATTTATATATACATATACCATATCTAACAACATGTTTTCAGCCACTCTACTTCAAAAATGATATTTCTTTACCAGAGAACAAAAAGTATTATGTAAAAATGAATAGCCCCCTACTAAACTGCCCTGAATCATAAAGACAAATGACAAGGTCAGACTTCCCCGCTTCTTGCTACTCACACCCATGTTGTCTGTTCCTACAAACACACCTGACTTTATTTGCTTTTAAGTTTTTACCTGCTTTAACAGCTTGATTTCCCTACTGATTTGCATGTTCTTGAAGTAAATACACCTTTGTGTAACCTTGCTTGTGTTTCTTTGGCCCAGAGGTGCGTCATTTCCAGATATATTTTTCTTTTAGACAAGCACAGGTATGGACACATCACCAAAAATATCACTATATGTACTTTTGGAGCAGCACCACTTCCAGAACTACATGTAGTAGTTTTATTGTTAGTAAAACTCTTTGAAACATGAGCATTATAAAAGTTATTGGTCAATATATCATAGAAAGACGTTAAATGAAAGTTTAAAGTTTACTTTGGTGCCACTGTGAAAA